CCCGGCTCCACCTTCGCCAGGCAGCCACCAAGGATCTGGCACCGAGCTGGGTCCTGCTGGGCCACCCCAAGGAGAATCACTTACTTATTCATTCAACCATCACTTCCTGACAGCCTGCTGTGTGCCAGGCCTTGTGCCAGGAGTCAAGGATACAGAGATGGACAGGGGGGTCCCTTCCTGGGAGGGTTCACAGAGACACTCCAGATGCCACAAAACAGCACGAAGAGGAAAGTACTCAGTGTAGACAAGCACGGGGTGGTGGGGGGCGGGAGGTGTAGGGAAAGGAAGGGCTTGGAGAAAATCTGCCCCCCATCTTCGGACCTGTTTACCCTCAGAAAGCTTAGAGTGCCACTGGGGAGGCTCATGCTTTTGGCCTCATTTCATGCTATGAGGTCATTACCATTACCCAATTCACAGATTCAGAAACTGAGGCTCAGAAAGGGTCACAAAGCCAGCAAGGGGCAGAGCCAAGACTCTAGCTCCAAAGTCCAGCTTTTGGCCACCCTGTTCTACTATCTCCCTAATCTGCAGACAGACAGAAGGTAGGAAGGTTGCTTCCGGTGGGGGAAGCAAGGGAGGGAGGTGGGCCCAACTCTTGCATGTGTGAGAGCCGTCTCCCAGGTCCACGCTATATGGAGATGGGGGCGGGGAGGGGGGGGCGCGTGTGCATGTGCTCACATGTGCCCTACTTTACAAACACAGATCCTGGGCTACAGAACTTCCTAAAAGCCAAGTAAAGGATGGGTCACCAGCACAGAAGGGAAGGAAGCCCAGAGAGAGAAAGAACTTATCAGAGGTCACGCAGCCGGTAACCAAAGGAGCTGGAACGAAATCTAAGAACCAGAATACAGGCCTCTTCCCTCTCCTCAGCTGTGTCTCCAAGTCAGCATAGAGTGAATCAGCGCTGACAGGAAAACCATAGTGTCGGGGGAACCCCAGGTGTGAGTCAGGAACCCGCCAGCCCCCAGACGGCAACTGGGCCTGTGACATGGGCCCCGAGCCTGTGGTTGGCCACCTCGCAGGCAGCATCGGGGGACGAGGGCGGGAGGAAAGCCACGCACACCACACTGCAGGCCGTGTTTACCTCTGGGCTTTCCCTCCTGGCTCCTCACATCCAGTCTTAGAGGAGGGGAAGCTGGTGGGCAGGGCAGTTCCTGCTGAGATTAAACAGAACCCCCCCCCCCCCCAGCCCTGGCCCCATCCTGTCCCACGGAGGGGCTCAGGCTCTTCCCTCCCTCCCTCCCACCTTTCACGGAGCCAACTCCTGACTGTTTGATGCTCTTGATTAAGTCATAACGGCCCCCTCGGAGCTTCCCATGCGGTGGAGGAAGTGGGTATAACGGTTTGGAGCCAGGGGTCAAGGCCAAGGCAAAACCCGGGGGTGCCAGCTGGCCCCAGATGCTCCAAATCCAAAAGAATGCTCAGGGCTTGGCTGCGGTCTTCAGGTGGACTGGGGTTGGGTCCCCAGGGCGGGGAAGAGTGAGGAGGAGGTGGGGGAGCTTCCAGGCGGTGGCTCACACATCTGTCTGAAGCTTCGAGAGAGGGGACTGCCCCATATTGCAGAAACTTCACAAGAGCCAACCAAAATTCAGCACCCCCCCCCCACACGCGGGAAATGTGTCCCCACTGGCTAACCTCTCACCCCAGCCCTCCTGGACTGCAGCTAGGAGGGAGAGAGCCACGGGCACTTCTTCCCATCGACCTTGCTCTCACACCCACCGCTGATGGGTGCAAGCTCCTACCACTTGGCCCAGATGCCTCCCCCGTGGGCAAGCACAGGGCCTCCCTGGGCGGCTCCCTCCCTATCACTCTGTAGCATGTTATCACCCTCCCCAGCACCTCTGAGCCCCTGCTGTGCACCAGGGTCTAGGCTGGACGGGGAAACCAAGCAAAAGAGGGCATCCATAGGGACCCTTTCTCCTCTTCCCACGTGACCCTGGCTCCCCTCCCACCCCTTTGACGGTGCCCCTTCTTTCACGCCCAGCTCCTTCCCCATCACCACAGCCATCAGATCCTTCTCCCTTGACTCCTGGGGTCCCTCACCCCAGCACATCAAGCAAGGCTGCCTTTCCTAAAGAGCCCCTCTGATTATGTCACTCCCTGGCTCAAAAGCCTTCAGTGGCTCTCACCTTCTACAAACCAGATCTAAACATTTCACCTTGACATTGAAGGCCTTCCGTGAGTTGACCCAACCTACCACCCCCCCTTCACATCCCCGCACGATTCCAACTCTTCAGCCAGACTGATCAACGCAGCGATTTCTTAAAAATTCCGTGAACCCACTGACCTCCTGGACTTTGCCAAGGTATTTTCCTCTGCCCAAAACTTTCACTGGCGCTGCTGAAACCTTCCCAATCCTGAAGACCCACCCAAAACTCCACCTCCTCCATGAAAGTTCCCAGTAATACTTTCTTCATTTATCTCTTATCAGAGTCACTGGTGTCCCTTCCCAGACCGTAAACAACTAAGGATGGGGGCAATGTGTCATCCTTCATCATTCGTCATGTGAGCTGGAGGGGTAGTGGGGAAGGCTTTCCAGTATTTGCTTACTAAGTTCTGTTTGAGATGAACGTCTTCTCCTCCCCCATGGGCTCCACCTACTGACCCTCTTCCTCCCACCACACCACACTCTAATCTTATGCCGTTCACATGCTTGGACAGGGGAGTCTGTGGCCCCAAGTCGATCCAAACCCAGCCAGGACTTGGGAGCCCAGTGTCTCGCTGCTTCTAAGCACCCTCCCCTCCCCTAGACACAGACACTGTCTCCTCCATGCAGTGCAGCCTTCAATCAGCCTCCGTCCCATACTACTTTCTAGCTGGTTCCAAAGTGTAGGGCTCATCTCCCCAGGACATTCAGGGAGTCGACATGCAGCACCCCCAGTCTCCTTCAGTGCCCAGCCTTGATCAAACAGTTTATGGGACGCCTGGGTGGCTCAGTCGGTTAAGCATCTGACTCTTTGATTTCAGCTCAGGTCATGATCTCGAGGTTTGTGAGTTTGAGCCCCGCTTTGGGCTCCGCCTAACAGTGTGGAGCCTGCTTGGGATTCTCCCTCTCTGTCCCTCCCCTGCTCTCTCTCAAAAGGAATAAAATAAACTTCAAAACAATCTTAAAAAAAAAAAAAAAAGCAACAGGTAACACACTAAGCCTCACTCTCACCCCAAGCCAAGTGTGCAATGGAACAGCTGGATTCCAAACACTAGAGCAATAGACTCATGAAATCTCATCTGGCACCAAGCCCTGGATGTGAGTTATCTTCCCCAGCAGGAGCATGGTGGGGGTGGGGAAGCCCTCATTGTCAGCAACTCAAAATGAGGGCAGAGCCCAGGTCTGGCTAGGTCACCTCTGTATCTCCTAGCTCCATCTAACATATGGTAGGTGCTCAGTAAACATTTTGGGGTTTATTGAACTGGACAACCACCAACCTCAAGCACTATTGCAGAAAACTCAGCCACTCTTTGGTCCAGATGACACACTCCCCAAACCTGAAATGGACAAAGTGATGCGGATGGCAGGTGGCAATTTCTGGCTCTCACAAGGTCAGGAGGGGCTGCAGCCGGGATCCGGCCCTCCAAAACCAGGCTCGTTCCTCGGCAGGAAGCCAGCCCATCATCACCTGCCCATCTGCATCAGGGCAGCTGTCATACAGTGAGGCCTCGCTGGGTGCCTGGTGCCTTGCTAAACACTGTGTATACATTATTCTATTTAGTCTTTGCTGCTGCTGTTGGGTACTGTCGTTACTCACATTTTACAGATGAGGAAACTGAAGCTTGGAGGAGAATGGAATCCTAGCCAGTTTGGTCCCAGAGCCTAAGATCTTGACCACTGAACTAGACTGCCCAGCTACCACAGCCGTGGCACAGATCTGCTACCGCCAGGAACAGAAATCCAAGAACTAACCTTGAGCATGCAGCAGCAAGAGCCCTGGGCCGGGGGCTTGACTCTGGGCCCACAGTTTGGTGGGGCTTTCCCTTCTTTTCCCCACTCACCCTGGTAAGAACTTGTCCCCTGGTTTCCAGCCAGGGCCTCCCAGGCCAGCTCACCTGGAAATGCCCCAGGAGGGTGACAAAAGCCCCACCGAGGTTCTGGTCTGAAGCTTACTGGGATCTCAGCGCTGGGGGGGAAGGGGAGACTGAAATTTCCCTGATTTAGGCTGCTTCCCAGGGCTTGTGGGCTCAAGGGCCATGCGAAGAACTCGTGTGATCTTTAAAGTAATTCGCTTAACGATCCAGGAGAGTTCACCTGGCTCCGTGCTGCTCGGCAGGGAGAGAAACTGCAGTTGGGCAGCGTTGTGAACACCCTTCGCCGAACTGCAGGCTGCTCTCACCTGCCAGCCCGCACCTTCCAGGGTTTTTGTGAGAAAGGGCAACAAGGAGCACCTGGTTCAACCTCCTCGGTTTACTGAGCCCGTTAAGTCCCGACCCGGCTGGGGGGTCGGGCCCGGGGCCACACTGCGGGTACGTGGCGGAGCTGGAGTCCTGGGGGGTCAGGACTCGGAGACTTTATGCTCCCTTTCACCCACCAGCTGCCTCCGTAGCCCTATCTGTCACTTGTTCCGAGAAAGCTGCCCGAGCGGGCTCTGGAAGTGGGAACGAAAACTAACTTTGCTATTGTTTGTCCGGCCGGCCTCCCCCCTGCCCCTTCTCACCGGCTGGCTTTGCTTTCTGCTCGGCGCTGCAAGCCGCAAGCCCCTCGCCGTCCGACTGCGCAGCCTTGGACTCAGTCTCTCTTCGGTCCCCCTCCCGGCGGCCGTCGGGGATGGCTGCGGCGGGGCCAGGCCCCGCCCTCCTAGAGGACACGCCCCGGGCACGCCCCCTGCCCTGCTCCCGGGCCCCACGGGAATGTAGTCGGCCCCGGGCCAGATCCGGCTCCGCCCACCAGGCCTCCGGTGCTGCCGCCCAGCCCCGCCCTGCGGGGGGTGGGCCCGTCTCTTGCCCCGCCCCTCCCCGTTATGGCCTCCCTAATTCAGCCCTGTAGCTCCGCCCCCCGGGCCCGCCTCCTCGACCCTGTCCTCTGCTCCCGGAGGAGGCCTGCCTCCCAACCTTGAAAGGCGAGCGCGGGAGCCCGGCTGGTGGGAAGGTCCAACACAGTCCCGCCCCTCCTCGGCCTTCCTCAGCTGTCCCCGCCCCCCCCCCCCCCAGACACTACCGCCACCCCGCCTGGGTCAAGATCTCCTCTCGGCCTACCCCAGCCCTCTTGGGTGAGGCGCCCCCTCCCCAGGCTCGCCTTTCCCCGCCTCAGCGCCTCCCTAATCCTGTTCTGCCCTGCCAACCTCAACTTGGGGCTGGCCGGCCTCGGGGCCCCCAAGCTGGCATTCCAGGGCGGGTGCGTCCGGGTGCGACCGGGGACGGCGTGGGAGCGGTTTGCGTTCCAAGTCCGAGCCTTTATCAGCAGGCGACCTGGGCCCAGGCACTTTTTGAAAATACTAACAACTACTACCGACTGGACTCTCGCCAGGGGCCGGGCTCTATGCCAAGCCCTGTTAAAAGGACTGGCCCTTAAATTCTCACAACCCTCTGCGATGGTAGCTTGTTGCTCCATTTTACCGACGGACGACCTGAGGTTTAGAGAAAGGAAGTCGTGGCCTCCGAGTCTCACGCTGGAGGTGAGCAGGATCCGGCTGCAAGCCCTGAATCACAAGCCTGATACTGCCCCAGCTTGCCTGGACTGGCCCCTGGAGAAGTGGCCTTGGCCAGCCAGCTGTTGGGGCTGTGTTCAGCAGGCTGCCTGAGGTGAGGGAGGAGGCGTGGGTTGATGAGGCGGGTAGCAGGAGGGGCTGCTGGCCTGAGCCCCAGAAGCTGGTTTTCTCCCTTAAGAAGTGACTCAGAATTAAGAAGGGCTGCAAAGATCTCCAGATGGCTGTGGTGCCCTGACCTGCATCCCAGCCCTCTGCACTCCCAGACCCCAGGGGCCAGCCTCGGGCAGGTTTCCTACTTATGACCGGGACCATTCACCTGGCAGCTGACAAAGCTCTTTAACTCCCATTATCTCATTGGCATCTCACAAGGACGCCATTATGGGGAAGGTATGATTATGCCGGGTTTTGCATGGGTGGAGTTAGGGTGGGGAGCTGGATCCCAGCCCAGCACGGTGGTTCCCAAAGCATGGTCCTTAGACCTCCAGCAATAGCAGTGGTGTCTGGGAATTTGTTAGCCATGCGTGTTTGGGAGCCCCATCCCAGGCCTACTGAATGAGAAACTCTGGGAGAGGAGCCTAGCAGTTTGTTTTAACAAGGCCTCCAGGTGATTTTGAATCACAAGCAAGTTGGAGAATCACCGTTGGGCACACTGGTGAAGAAATTAGGGTGCTCTGAGAGTCACAAAGGCCTGGTAGCGTCCTGGGAGCCTTGCGACCCAAGGCAAGGTAAGGTCCTGAACTCTGGGAGAAACGTGTACAAGGGGAATAGTGATAATAATACCAGTCTTGAGGGTGGCTGCTGGGGATTAAACGTGCTGGCGTTCACGAAATGTTTGCCCACTCTTGGACACCGTGCATGCTCAGTAAATGTTCTCTTTCCAGTAAAAAGTCTCCTTTATAGAATCTCCACACCAAGTCAAGGGATTGGGGCGAAAGAATCTTTAGGGCCAACAGGGTCCCACTTTGTTGTCTTTGCCACAAAGGGACACCATCATTCCTGCGAGGGGCCAACAGCTTAACAGGTTCCCAGATGATGTCGACACAGCTGGTCCAGGGCTCACATCTTCAGAACCACTGTGCTTTTCTGTCTTGGACTGGGCTCCTGGCCAACCCTTGAAAATGGGCGTAAAACATCCTCCTCTTCCACCCTGTTCCCCGTCCCCTCCCCTCAAGCTGGGGGTGTTTGTGATGGTGATTGGCAGTTGGCAAAACAGCTGGGATCACATCAGCCCCTCCCTCGCCTCCAGACAGACGTTCAATCACCGGAGGCCCATCTGCTACCCCTTTGGGTCTGTCACTCCAGATTAGAGACAGGGGCAGCTGTGGCAACATGGAGGCAGGCAGATTTTCGAATCTCTGCCATACCCCCTACCCCCCTCTGCAGCCCCATAGATGAGGGCCTTCCTATAGGAGCTCAGAGCCTATTTGTCCTGTTAAGTGCCCTAAATGCTAAAAAATGCTTGAATTAAATGCTAAAGTAAATGTTTTGTTAAATGCTAAAAATATCAACATGTTAATGCTAAAAATCGAGACCCACCTAGCTTACATCTAAACATGTAACAGACTATAAAATAAAATATGTTTATTCTCCTACCTTGAGAACTATTCTTCATACTGACCAAGAAGGCCACGTTCAAGTTTAGAATTCTTGGACTCCTTAGAATTCTCTGCAGGAACATGGCAGCGTGGGGCGGGTTTGGTCCTGACCCCTCAACCCTCAGCCCAATCACTCGGATTCTCTTCCCGGCCCCATGTCTGTCCTGTGCACACAAGTAGCCTAGGACCCAGGGATGTAAACACCTCAGCCCACATGCCCAAATTCAGCCACCACTTAGTCGCCCCTCCAGGAGTGCACATGGGGGCAAGTTGTACCCTCAGAAGGATGGGCCTTGGGAAGTGTTGGACCATTTAGGCAGAGATTTCTAGGGTTTTTAGATACCTGAAGCATGATTTTGAAAGGCTGCGGGGTATAGGTTTTGAGTAGACACGGGTGGCCCTGTTGCCTGGGTCTGTGAGTGGCCCTGCTGTTTGTCCTTGCCTCCGTAGCACTTAGCACGCTGCCTGGTACATATTAGAAGCGTAAGGAATAGTCATTAAGGAGAGGTGTGTCTGAATTATTGACTAAAATATCAAATTGGCTTGGTTCTTCCCGTGTTTTTCCTCTCTTCCGGCAAGAGTCAGACTTTGTCATGATTTACCCTGGGCATCTTGCAAAGGCAGCCTCTAGGGAGAGACGACTTCCTTCTTTTGTGAAATTCTTCGGTCCATTCCAGAGGTGAAGCCACGAGTTTGGGAGGTGGGAACAGGGGCAGGAAGAACTACTCTAGAAAGACAAGAGGAGGTATCAAATGGCCAACGTGGAGGTAGATGGTGGCTTGGCAAGACCTTCAAAGGGTATGTCTATGGGGTTCCCAGCCTCTCAGAAGATTCCCCCACCCCAGAGTTGGCACAGGAGCTTCAGAGGAGGAGGCCTGAAGGTCCTCGTGGTCATTTATTTAGCCCCCAAATCTGCGATTTGGGGTGGGTTCACTGGAGGGAAGGCTTGTCTCTGTTCTGTGCACTATCAGCTGGTTCAGTTGGAAGTGGAGGACCCTTAACAAGATGGCGCACTCACATGGCTAGCCAGTTGGTGCTAGGTGCTAGCTGGAAACTCAGCTGGAGCTGTGGACCAAGGCCTCAGTTCCTCTCCATGAGGCCCCTCTGCAGGCTGCTGGGGCTTCCTCACTGCAAGACAGCTGGGTTTCAAGCGCAAACAGAGAACAAGGTAGAAGCACGTGGCATTTTATGACCTAGCCTCGGAAGTCGTGTAGCATCACTTCCTTTGTATTCTATCAGTGCACAAAGACACCATGGTTCAAGGGAATGAGAGACATAGCCTCCCTCTGTCGATGAGGGGGTGGCAAAGTTCTAGAAGAGATTGCAGAACGGAAGATACCGTCACAGCCATCTTTGGAAAATGCAACCTGCCCCAAGTGGGTCCTCAGAACAAGTGGAGAAAAATTTCCTCTGCTGGGAACTGAGTGTCTGACTTAGCCGATTTAAAAGGAAAAGGTATATGATGTTCCTTGCACAGCCCTCCGTGCAATCTGTGCACAAGAATGAGACTAGGAAGTCCGGTGGACAAGGAGTCTGGTGCCCTTGGGTTATTTAGGATTTTCCTTCTTCAGAGAGTCCTCAGAATAGAGTTAAGACCTCTCTCCTCACCACCTCTACTGTTTCTTTGAAGCTGTACGTTTCAATACTACTCATTTGATCCGCTTCATAATGACCCCTATGAGCTACATACTATCTATTGTGATGCCCATTTCCAAGATGTGCAAATGGAGGCCCTGAGAAGGTAAGTAATTTGCCCAAGCTCATACAACTAGTCAGTGATGGAAGAAAGAGAAATACCAGTTTGTAGCCAACCCAGTTTTCTGTTGCAGAAACGGTAGGCCCAGGTAATCCAGATCCTGAGCACCCAACACTGAGCCACTCAGTCTTATCCCTAAAAGCCCACAGTGGGTTAACAAGCACCACCACCCCCCACATCCCACGCCCCAGGGACTTGCAGGGTCCCTGCTTCCTGCCTGAGAAACCGACCCATGGATTCCTTCCTGTCTCAGTCATTTGACCAAAATCCTTTAGACCCCTACTACACCTCAGGGTGTGAGGGTTAATGCCACCCAGCCCTGATGACTTTTGGCCCAGGGGAAGCTGACAGATAAACCAGTGGGGTGATGCGTGGTACTGTCACAACACCGATAGCAAGGGGACAGCAGTAATAGCAACCTTCATTTTTTTTTTTTTTTTAACAGCCTTCACTTTAAAAGTAAGCTATTACTAAGGGCCAGACGCCTCTGAGCTGTCAGCACAGAGCCCCACACGGGGCTTGAACTCACGGACCGGGAGATCATGACCTGAGCCGAAGTCGGACGCTTAACTGACTGAGCCACCCAGGCGCCCCTGGGCCAGACATTTAAAGAATGACCTTGAATATGTTTAACTCACTTGATGACTAGCATTTGGGAAGCACTTTGCATATTATAGAGCTTGTTTGTTTGTTTGTTTGAAATGATTCAGTGACATCTCCCCATCCACAGTTCCCTGCACACCTGTTTATTTTCCTCTTTCAGGCAGCAGCTCAACCCTGTGGCAGGGGCCGGACACCCCAAACAGTCATGGGTCCACACCCCAACATCTGTTACTCTATTTATTTATCGTCGAGACATATGTACTATTTTGCTAGCCAAGCTGCATCGTTTGAACGAGGCACAAAAACAAAATTTATAAATAGGAGGCAAAAATTGTGTAAAACTTTCAATGTATGCAAAAATGAAAATAATTATAAAGCAGTCGTGTTATTTGTTCCTTGAATGCCAGTACATCACATTGGAGTCCATCTACCACGGCCTCCATGCTCACACGTAGGAGTTGTGGGAGCAAACCAACGAGACAAGTCCTCTGGGCAACCCTTTGTGAGTATCTGCAGATACTTAAAAGTCCCTAAGGTGAACAGGGCGGTGCTGCAGAAAGGGGAACAGGAAAGGGAGCTGTTTCTTTTTTTAGCTTTTTAAAGCTTATTTATTTATTTTGAGACAGAGAGAGTGTTCAGGGGAGGGGACGAGAGAGAGAATCCTAAGCAGGCTCTACTGTGAGCGTGGAACCCAATGTAGGGCTCGAACCTGCGAACCCTGAGATCATGACCTGAGCCGAAACCTGGAGCTGGATGCTCAACGGACTGAGCCACCCAGGTGGCCGGGGACCTGCCATTTTACACCCGCCGATGGGTAGAGCTGCACAAAATCAGTGCCAGATCCTTCTCTGGATCAGGCTGAGGTAGAAGAGGTTAAGAGGGATGAGTTGAAAATGCTTTGAGTTTGTCACCAGCATTTCCAAGTTGGGAAATTTCATGTAACATCTAGATGCCTGGCTTCTGTTGAAAGGAACATCCAAACCCCCTGAGAACGCCTTCCCACAGGGCAACAACTGGCGGGGCCCCAGCGTGGCTGCCCCCTTCGGTTATAATACACGCCCTCGAGCTGACCGCAGTCCCCACCACTCCCTGTTGTCCACCCAGCCTGTTTCCCTTATTTCTGTGAGCTGCACCTGCTCACTCCCTGAAGACAAGCTGGGTTTGCAATCCAGGGTTCGACAGATACTGGTTGAACTAACTGGTGTTCATACTGAGAGCTTTCTGAGGGGCAGCGTCACCACGCAGACCTTTGAGGAAGACCAGAACGCCACATTCTTTTTTTCCTCCTTCTCTCCACCACCCTCCCCGTGAAAGCTGCAGGGTTAGCACAGGCCCCTGTGACAGATGGGCTAGGCTGCTGTCCCTGCCCTGCTGACTTCACGACCTGAGGCACGTCTCTTCACCTCTCTGCGTCTGTTACCTCGACCGTAAGGTGCACACACAGCACTTGCTACCTTAGCGCTGGAAGATGGACATGTTAGTGGTCTCCAAGTCATTGCTGTCACCAACAGAGATGGAGAGAGGAAAAAAAAAAAACAAACAAAAGCTCGCCACACCCTTCCCTCCACAATGAGCGTGTATTGCCCTCTGGTGTCCACACTGCTCAGTGCAACCAATCCGGAGAAGCCTGGAGAGAGAAAAGGTGGAGGGAGGGGGCGGGGGAAGGGTTCCTACCGGCTCCCCACCTGCTCCTGGCCTCTGTTAGGTCACGTTCCCCCAGAGCAGAGTGGGGCCCTGGCCTGAGGGCCAGGCTTGGGGAAACATGAAATTAGATCTTCTTAGAGGCTCCAGCTGACTCCCCAGCCATCCCACAAAGGGAAACTTGGGGTGTAGGATTTAAGAGCCGATGCCCGCTGGCCTGCAGTTCCCCTGGTGTCTGGAGGCCTCGAGGACCTGGTGACTCTGATTTAACAATGGTGACTAAATCCCATTAACGACAGCAGGCCCTGTAAGCACAAGACGTGCTAGGAATCTAGTTGTTTCCGTAGAAAACTTTAGTAAAAGGCACTTGCAAAGCCCCCTAAGTTGTTGAGTGGAGCGTCAGGCTCAAACTCCACCGCAGACCTGGCCAAAAAAGACCACTGGCCCTGTCACCACGTTCTGCCCGATGCCTCCCTGCCCTAGGAAGCCAACTTCACGGCCCCTCCTGGGAGACCCCCCCCCCACCCCCACCCGGGAGGTCGCTACCCTCATCACAAGAGCAAAGCGCAGAAGCCCCTCCTGAGAGCCTGTTCCCTCTGAAGCCCAGCCCTGCAAGGGAGCCTCTGGACGCTCGGAGGCTGGGGGTGAGAGTTCTGATGCCCACTTTGGGAGGTGGAGCTTGGCAGGGGGTAGTTTTTTCACATACAGAAAGCCTATTCAAAAGACACAGGGCAGCTATGAAAGTAACAGGCGTCCACCACAGCTCTTGCTGACGGAAGGTAGACTGCGGTCCGGGCACCGGAACTAGCTCATCTCACCCTCACCCTGCCCCTCTGGGGTGGGCACATCCCCACCTCCATTCTGTAGAGAAGGAAGCTAAGGCTCGGTGAGTTTAAATAATTGGAAAAAGAGCTCGCAGCTGGTCAATGGCAACGCTGGGAACAAGCCAGAGACCGCCTGCCTCCAAAACTTAATAAGTGGGTTCTATTGCCTCCCTCCAGTGCCTTCTTTTTCAGGACCCATGTCCCGTGTACCGAGAATGACCCAGGGCGTCTAGAATGAGGGCCTGCAAGGGACTTCAGGGGTCATCTTAACCGAACCGCTTCTCCAGGGCCCTCCCCGCCTTCGCCCTGTATTAGTCAGCTTTTGTGAGGTTATGCTACAGTAACGAAGAACCCTGAAAGCCGCGCTGACTTATAACAACAAAGGTTTGTTTCTCATGTATGTTAATGACGGCTGAAGATTGCCGTGGGTCAGGTGGCCCCTGCTCCTTGTGTCTTTGTCATTCATAGGTTCAGGAGGAGAAATCGGCCCTTATCTGGGATACGCTCTTGGCAGTGGCCAAGCCCCATGACGGCTCCCGTAACTCCTGCTCGGACGTCCCATCCAATCCCTTCTGCTCAATTCCACTGGTTAAAGTAAGTCACACAGCAGAATTCCACATCAGCTCCTACAGGGGAGCCCGAACCTGACGACTAGGTTTTCCGGCAGCCGCTGCCATGATAGAAATATAGAAAGAATTTGGTTCAGTGCTTTTCAAAGCAAGCTTAATGGTGACATTCACCTTGTAGTCTTTGAGGATGTGCCTGGAGTCCACTGTGGTGGTCCAGTGGGGAGGGGCTTCGGGCCCGCCACCCCCTTCCTCTGGGAGCCCGGCTCTCAGCTGTTTTGTAGATGTCAGAATGAGATTTTTTTCTGAAGAGAGGGAGGGACACACACACACACACACACACACACACACACACACACTACTTGAACAAATGTTTACCCCGGCAAGCAGCCAGCTCTAAGGAGTCTGCAGGAAAGTGCCATCAGGGCGTCTCTACTGCGGGCGGATCCAGTGAGACCAGTGTGAACCACAATTGCATCTCTGCGGTTCTTCCTGGAGAACCACATCCGGTGTCTACACAGTCCAATGGGCCATGAGCCACCATGATCGTCGTGCCCGCATTGGTAGGTATAAATGTTTTCTCTGAAAGAGGCGATGCCTGTGAAGAGAGAAGGTGAGCCAAGAGACCTAGAAAATCGAATCTACTGACAGAAGAGTCTGGTAATAAAGGAAACAAAAGGGTGGGACCATTCCTGTGGCCCCTCACGTGCCTCCACCCTACTGCACGTACTTTTTTCTCATGTCTGAGAAAGTAACGGACGATTATAAGAGTGTAGCTGGTTCTGGAATGCATTACCACATCTCCTGAGCATGACATGATGTTCCTGAAAAACCTAGAAAAACGGTTGGGTGGTGGACAGACGACCTTCATCCACCAAGGAGCCCCTGAGCGTCAGGTCGGCACCGGGCATGCCCAGTGGGACAAGCAGACAGACTAATGAATCCATTAGGGGTGGAATGATTAGGCAATTGGTGTTTTCACTGTTTTATGTTATACAGAATCCTTCGTAGACTGTTTTGTATGTTTATGGGACATTTGGGGAGTTGGTAGGGAATTCTGGGTGGGTTAGGAATGCATTATTTTTCCTTCTTAGAGAAAAAAGAATGTAGTCGCTCGCTACGCAACATGGACGACCTACCCCTTCAGGCATGGATTAGATTTTTACACTGAAGCGTACCTCTCTCTATAAAATTATAGGCCTGGATATAGTGATATTTAATATTATGAGCACTTCCCATGTCCTCGGCACCATGCCAAGCCTTTAACATGTACTTTGACACTTGGAACAGGAGAATAGGTGAAATCTGTTTATTGTGATTGATGGTAGGTTACACATGAGGAAAGTGAAGACAGAGGCTGAGTCCTTATCCCAGGGTCACAATTCCTGGCTTGGGTAGAACAGAGACTTGTTTTTAGCATTGTCCTTATAATGAACATACCCATTTTCGTGGTCATTGGTGCGTGTCCTAAATTTCGCCATAAATACAAGTAAAAGAAAATAAAAACAGGGACTTCTTCCTAACTCATTCTACGAAGCCAGCATTACCCTAATACCAAAACCAGACAAAGACATTACAAGAAAAGAAAACTGTAGAACACATAGACCTATGGAAGAGAATAGAGAGCCCAGAATTAAACCCATGTGTATATGGTCAATTAATTCACAACAAAGGAGCCAAGAATATAAAGTGGGGGGAAGGACAGTCTCTTCAACAAACAGTGCTGGGAAAATTGGACAGCCACATGCAAAAGAAAGAAACCATCTTACCTCATACACAAAAATTAACTCAAAATGGATTGAAGCCTTGAAGGTAATCGCTTCTCGGCCTTTTGGCTAAGATCAAGTGAAGACTTGGATGTAAGACCTGAAACCATAAAACTCCTAGAAGAAAACGTAGGTGGAGTGCTCCTTGACATCGGTCTTAGCGATGATTTTTTTTAATCTGATACCAAAAGTAAAAGCAACAAAAGCAAACATAAATAAGACCATGTCAAGTTAAAAAAAAAAAAAACAAAAAGGGGCGCCTGGGTGGCTCAGTCGGTTAAGCATCTGACTTCGGCTCAGGTTGTGATCTCACGGTCCATGAGTTCGAGCCCCGTGTCGGGCTCTGTGCTGACAGCTCAGAGCCTGGAGCCTGCTTCTGATTCTGTGTCTCCCTCTCTCTCTGACTCTCCCCCCGTTGATGCTCTGTCTCTCTCTATCTCAAAAATAAATAAACGTCAAAAAAAAAAGAATAAGATTTAAAAAAAAAAACAAAACAAAAAAACAAAAACAAAAAAAAAAACAAAAAAAGAACCCCCCAAAACAAAAACTGCACAGCAAAGGAAACAGTCAACAAAATGAAAA